GGCCGCCTCCAAGAAGAGCCCGGCGGCGAACGGTGAGTCACCAGCGCCGTGGGATGGAGGGCGGCAGAGGCTGAGCGACATGAGCATTTCCACCTCGTCCTCCGACTCGCTCGACTTCGACCGCAGCATGCCCTTGTTCGGCTACGAGGGGGACACCGCCAGCAGCCTGGAGGACTTTGAGGGCGAGAGCGACCAGGAGAGCATGGCCCCTCCTTTGAAGCCCAAGAAGAAAAGGAACAGCTCGTTCGTCCTGCCCAAGATTGTGAAGTCTCAGCTGCGGAAAGTCAGCGGTGTTTTCAGCTCCTTCATGACCCCCGAGAAGAGGATGATAAAGAAAATCGCGGAGATGTCCCAGGACAAGCGCACCTACTTCGGGTGCTTAGTGCAGGACTACGTGAGCTTTCTCCAGGAGAACAAGGAGTGCCACGTCTCCAGCACCGACATGCTGCAAACCATCCGGCAGTTCATGACCCAAGTCAAGAACTACTTGGCCCAAAGCTCCGAACTTGACCCCCCGATCGAATCCCTGATCCCGGAGGACCAAATAGGTAAGAGATGCTGAAAATGCATGATCCGAATCTACGGCGCTAGTTTTAGCAACAGGTTGGATGGGAGGGAGTTGACTTTGTTAGCGTTTAAGGCTTGGATTATTTGAGTTTTAAAAATGCAAAAGCTCAGAAGAACGAGGTTGCAGAGTTGTTTATAAAAAGTTTTCATTACAATTAATAGCGGTGAGCATTGCATTTGATTTAACTGTGACTTTTTTTTTATTAAACTGCTGCACTATTAATCCTGTATTTGCTGGCATTTGCTGAACTGTGCTGGAATGCACCAATTTTAATTGTGTGCTGCGTACACATTGGAGCCATAAAGCCAAGATTTACTAGGAATCAGGAACAGTTAAGAGCAGAGAAACATTTCTTAGCAGTTTCCTCTTTAAACAAATCTCGTTCTTGCAAAGAAATTCTCACTTGCTCCTAGCAAAGCTGCAGTGTCCCTGCATTGAAGCTAAATAAAGGGGTATGTAAGCTTAAGAAAAAGAAAATGAAAAAAGAGAGCAGAGGATGCCAGTTTCTGGCTTTCTATACCTCTCTGTTACATGTCGCTTGTTTATAAATGGTTGCTAATGATCTATATATTTGAATGCATGTTTTGCCAACAGAGAAAGACTTGTGTATCCTCAAAAGTGGAATCGTTGTTGCTGTGTAAAATCTCTCTGTCCCTCTGACTTGCTGCGCCTGAGCAGTATTTGTGAAAGAGCTTACAAGCCACATTTAGGAGGTAAACATCCCTGAGGGCAAAATACTTTCCTTGTGAGCTCACTTCAGTCTGAACTTGCTTGTTTTTCCCCTATACCCCAGTGTCCTAACAGTTGGCCAAGGACAAAATTGGCAGATAGCTCTTTCTCTGGGAGTAGCTGGTGCTTTTTATGTTGACATTTTGGTCTGCCCTTGACTGCAGGGAAGGATTTGCTTGTAATCTCGGCTTCGTTTGCACCAAGTTGAGCCAAATTAGCAAGCGCCGCTAAAGCAGATACTCCACGGTGAAGAGTTTCCTCAAAATCCAGGCTGTCTGAAAGGCAAGGAGAGCTCTGCAGAGTAACAAAGAGTGCTGCAGGGGTGGTGTGTGGAAGGAAAGCACAGCCTACGGTGGTGAGGTTCCCCCCACGGGCTTTCGGAGACCCTTGGACGAGGAGATACCGAACTTCTGTGCTCAAAATCGGGTTTGAGTTGTCCTTGAGAGGGTGAGTCTGAGACTGGGCGTCTCCAGCAACTGACAAAACACTGTCTGCTTTTAGATGTCTCACTAGTTTGGAGTAGCTGGAGTTATAAAGCAAAATAAGTTGACTATGCTGGTTTTCCTCATCGACAGAAAGTCTGACTTTGGTCGTGCAATTAAATCTGATTAATTAAAGCAGGGTAGCTTTAAGCAAATGCAGCACTTGCTTTTGAGTCATCTGCTTTCCTGTTCCTGGAGCTTGAAAAGAGCCACAGAGGATCAGGAGGCTCAGATGGTGCTGACCTAGGCAGATAGCTATGTGACAGCACAGTTTAATCGTCCCTATAGAGAAGCATTTCTTATGCTGGAACAAAAAGTCAGCCCTGCCCGTCACCTTGGGGCTTTGCTCGGCTGTCTCAATGCAGGCTTGCAGCCCAGGGTTTGTAAAAGATCACTGATTCTTCCTCTTTGGTTTAGGTGGTCGCTGTGCAGGTGGTTCTTCTGCACATAGCAGCTGCCCTTGTGGCTGGGCCCCGCTGCTGGTGCAGGTGGCATGAGATGGCAGGAGCCCATGACACTAAATCATCAGGCATCTTGGCTCCCCAGGCCCTTCCTTCCACTTCCAGAGGAGCTCGAGCCAACCTGGCATCCCTTTGCAGCAGGACAGTTCCCTGGTGAGGTACCTCCAGGTGTTGCGTTGTCTCTCTTGTCTCCTGAATTTTAGGATGTGCTAGAGCCCACACCTATCACAGCCCTCTGGAGCACAGGGCTGCAAATGTTTGGGAGTTTGTTGTTTGTATTTCCCCTTTTCCTAGTTGGGAAGAGAAAGGAGGCAAGCGGAGGGTCGTCATTTTGTCAGGGGATCAGCAGACAGGGGCTAGCATCTGACCAGCTCCATGGCCCTGCCAAACCCTGGCCTAACCCAAGAAATGTCCAACTTAAATAACTTGGCAAGGAGGTGTTGACAGATGGCACAGTGAGGTGCCAGGACATCCTCCGCGTTACTTTGATGTTTCTAATGAATGGTGGATTTTGAAATGGTGAAGCTGAGAATTCAGTTGGCCCCCAAACACATGGATTTATACCAAGGAAGATGGGAAGAGTTGGAAGATGTGTCAAGGAACCTGTTAATTACCCCAAAATGGAGGGGGTTTTCTTTCTTTAGTGAAAATTAAGTCAGTTACTTGCCCAGCTACCCTCCCTTTTCACTCCCTTGCAGATGGGCATGAAATGAAAATCTACGGGCCTCTCAGCAGCAGCTTTTGACATCTCAGGATTGCCCTACAGCAACTGTCTTTCCAACTTGGAAGATAACTTTAGACCTGCTCTCCCGAGAGCTGGTGATGCCCTCCTTCCCCACCTCACCATGATGTCCCACGCAGGTTTTACATGTGAAATGCTTTATCCAGATTCTTAACAAAAATACTAAACAGCCCAGAGCTGGCCCTTGCGGGGCCTCTTTGGAAATGTCCATGTGTTTGACAGTGGCCCATTAATAGCTGGGCACTCAACCAGCCATGCACCCACCTTATGGTAATTCCAGCTGGACAGTATGTCCCTTGTTTGCCTATGGGGAAGCTGTATAGAGAAGGGTTAAAGGCCTTTAAAGAAGTCAGGATGTAGCCCAGCTCCTACTCTGCATGTCCTTACTAAGCCAATTGTCCTGCTGACGGCATGAGAATGGTATGTCACTATTTGCTCTTGAAAAATTCATATGGGTGTTTTTTAGCAATGTGGTATTTTTAGAAGGGTCTTGCATGTACTTTGGGTCCCTGCTGTTTACCCTAACATCTCTTCATGTTAGCTTGATGTCAAGGGACCTGGTCTCCCTGTGGCCTTCCTTTTGCTGAAGGGGAACAGGGAAGAAAGAAGCAAGTGGTGAAGGCCCTGAGCAGAGGCCTACAACCCATTCCCCTCTTTCCATTTGCTTTGTGACTTGTTTGGGGCTCCTTCATTGCTGCTGTTTCAGAAGGCACGTGTTTCCCTCACGTGAGTTTAATTAACCCTCGAGTGGTCTGATTCAAACAAAACAAGCCCAAAGGTGCGTGATTCACCGACGGGTGCTTGAGATGGGTCAGGTGAGGGCAAGGTTTTACTGACACCTCCTGCCCCATTGCTCAGCTGCTCCTGCTGCCTCTGCCCTCCCGCCGCTGTCCTGCCAGCGCCCACGGATGGGGAAGGTCTCGTCCTCAAGCCTGGCTCCTCCTGCAGAGCTGGCTTTGGGCCCAAAGGTTCTGGCTCGCGCCGCGGCGGCGTGAGGACGCGCGCGGTCCTCGCCAGGCAGCGGCTCGTGCGGTTTGCAGGGAGCAAAGCGGCGCGTCAGCACAGGATGCAGATGCGTTTCCACAAGTCGCAGCGAAACTTCTTCGCTGGCCTTGGCGGTTCATTTATGGAGGCATTTCCAGTTCCCATTTTGAGGCTGGAGACTAATTTTAAGTATTGTGGCAGGAAAACTAGCTGGGTCTTAAATTAAAAGTACAATAATCAGCTTAAAAAAAAAACTCTGGAGCCTGTGTGTTTGTTTTTGAAATATTTAGCATCTGGAGGGGTTATGTGGAAATACTTTGCTTTTGCAGAAGTTAACGGGAGTTTTTGTTGCTGACTTTGATTTGAGCTGAGAAATACATGAAAACATGAACTCAATGAATGGGTCTGCACTTCACCCCTTGCAGGCACTGATTTGCCTGGGGAACCCTCCAGTGCTGCTCTCAGCCATGAGAAATTAAAGCTGCTGCTGGGCAGTTGTCGTCTGCGGGATCGTACCCACAATTGCCATCTGTGGAAGGGGACATTAGCAGCAGCTCAGGAAATAAAGGGACCTGGTTGGATGATCTGATCCCGAGCGTGGTTAGCAGTGTCTTGTAGCCCTGAATGTTGGTCTGAGAGCCAGATCCCAAGCAAAGCCGTCCTTCCAGGCTTCAATAATAATGCAGCTATTAAATGCTGCTAAAGCCTCTACGTTTTTGTACTAACTAGTTAAATGTGGGTGTTGTCATTTACCATACAAATGCTTAGTCCTTCTGACGCTTGCTAAGTTCTTGGCCTCACTAGCTTGCTCCAATTTGCTACCTCTTAACTCAGAGCTCCCTGATTCTTATGTCTCTTCCGAGAATTAAGAAGGAAGAAGAAAAGATAAAGGGGAAAAAAAAACTTGTGGATGCCTTGCTGCATCATCTTAATATTGACTTTGTTTGCTGGTTAGTTCTGTGCAGAATGGCAGGAAAATGCCAGTGTCTCCCAGCCTAGCCAGTGGTCGAGTCTCTTTGGAATCATGGATATGTATCTTTAATCTATATCCCACTGGGGTAATGTGGTCACTGCAGGGCGCTGAGGGAGGCTCTGCCAAGTCACCTGTCTGTGTTTTATTTACCCAGTCAGAGTAAAAAAGCGGAATCATTGAGGAAGAGCCACGAGTAACGATCCCAAAGGAAGGACTCGGCTGCTTTTGCGTCTCGCGTGGAGCTGACCAAAGGCAGGGAGCCGGGCAGAGCCGCCTGCCCTGCTGCTCCGCGCGGCCCCGACTCCGTCCAGGTTTCCTGACGTGCCGGGCACTGGGATGGGGTAAACTGGAAAGCGATTTCCAGGCACTGCTGTAGGAACCTGGGATGAACTGCAAACATGAAGCAACTCCCTCTCCATCCCGCACAGCCGTAAAAACCCCTGTGATTCATCTGTACTGGGGGAGTGGCCCTGTTAAGGGCCAAACGCTTCCAATTCCCACCTGTAGACACCCAGGCCAGCACCGAGGAGAAGTTTGGGCTCCGTGGAGGAGCCCCCAAAGCTTCCGGCAGCTGCACTCCGCGGAAGGATGCCGGGATGGTGCCGGGAGCAGCCGGCTTTCCCCATCTCCCACCCCAGAGGTGGCCCCGGGGGCTCCCTTCTCATCCAACCAAAGGAATTTGGGGAATTCTTTCCTGAATTTATTGATCCTCCCACTACCAAATATTTTGGCGACCCGAATTACTTGGATGAAGGGAGGCTGAAGCCTGGTGCTCCAGGCAAAGCCATTCCCTAGGGATGCAGAGTTCTCTCTTCCTGTGTCCTGTTTGGCAGCACGGGCTATTTTTGCTCTGATTTAAACAAGAGCAGGCAGCTGGAATGCAAACAGCAGAGGTGCTCTACAAGGAAAGCCGTAACAGGGTGTTGCTATTGGAAAATAATAAAAAAAAAAGTACAATAAAAATAAAAGAAGTTAAACTGCCAATAAAACTATGGCCCTGGTGAAGCTAGCAGAGAAGGGTGCTTCCCATGTGGAAATGAGCTAGCTATTGTGCCCACATGTCAGGAATTTTGTGCCTTTCACGCTGTACGTTTGTCCACGTAGGTCACCGTGAGCATTTGTCGGACTGGCTGGGCCTTTGCTGGTGCCCCGGGGAGATTTGGAAAACAGGAGCCCAGAGGCTGCTCCTGGCACTGGCGTCTCCTCCCATGCAGTGGCAGCGGTGTCTGCTGGTGGGGACAGCCCGGCTGGCCTCAAAGCCTCCAGGAACAGGGCACCTCTGGGTGCCTCCCCGAGCGTCTCGGGAGGGGAAAAGCAGCAGCAGAAGCTCCAGAGGCCCCAGGAACATTGGGGAAGGGGAGGTGGGAGCTCCCAGCAAAGCTAAACATGTGGGAATCTCATGCCAGAGACGCAGAGAATAAGTGTTTTGTAGGAAAGCTCCTCAGAGGAGTGTGCAGAGGTGTGTTCATGTGGGAGAAAGGGGCGAGAGCCAAAGCAAAGGTGGCTTTGAGGAGCACAAGAACAACATCTCCTTGGGCACCTAAATGGCATGCGAAAGCAAAAAGAGCTTTCGCTGTTGATGTGGTCCGTACTTGGAAAATGGAGGATGTTTGTTTTAAGAAAGATTTTCAGTAGAGTAGGAATAAAATAAATAAATAAAAACCCGAAGTGGTTGCTGTGCCATGTGCATACAGTTGCCAAACAGAGAACCTCAAGGTTGATGACAAAGCTGTATATAAGCTCGCATGATGAAATCTGAAGCTGGACAAACACAGCTTGGGTTTCATTTATAGTTTAAAGCCTGTAATCTGTCCAAGTTCATAAAGAATTTGGCAAAGTTGAGTCAAGTTTTAGGCCGCCTTGGTGGAGCTACAGTTTCTTATGGAAACTATGTGGAAAGGGCTGGTTTCCACGCCAAAAGAGACAACAGTTACGGTTTTGACTGTCCTGCTCCAGGTTTGGGAGTTGAAGTCTAAAGCTCAAAGTAAAAACAAAGCAGTGAGGCTTCTGGCCAAAAAAAAAAAAGTTAACTGGAGCCACAGCTTTGTTTTACAGTCTGTAGTCTGTCTGTCTGTCTGTCTTTTGTGGGTTTTTTTGGTTTGTGGGTTTTTGTTGTGTGTGTGGTTTTTTTGTTTTATTTTGTTTTGTTTTTCTGCACTGACCAGATTGCCCTCAATTCAGATGGAATACAGATTCTGCTCTGCCTTTTTGTTTTCTCGTTAGCAAGCATCTGGAAGCCCAGCTTGTGCAATAAATAGGCCGCAGCGAGTAGCTTTTGCTCTGCTGTGTCCCTTGGGAGCGGGTATATTAATCCTGGCTCTGCTCTAGAGGAGGAATCAGCTGGAGCTGTGTTTGCCCTTGCAGATGTGGTGCTGGAGAAGGCCATGCACAAGTGCATCCTGAAGCCGCTGAAGGGCCACATTGAAGCTGTCCTGAAGGAGTTCCACACTGCGGACGGATCTTGGAAGCAGCTGAAGGAAAACCTGCAGCTGGTGCGGCAGAGGAATCCTCAGGAGCTGGGGGTGTTTGTTCCCACGCCGGACTTTGTGGACGTTGAAAAGATCAAAGTCAAGTTCATGACCATGCAGAAAATGTATTCACCTGAAAAGAAAGTCATGCTGCTACTGAGAGTTTGCAAATTGATTTACACTGTGATGGAGAATAACTCAGGTATGGTGCTTACTCTCATTTTGAAAAAAAAAATGCTCACTGATATTTTAAACCTGGGGTTGTCTTTTGGTGCAGGAGATCACTGGATTCTGCAGAGACAGCTGCCTCTTTCTGCTTGAGCTCTTGTAGGCCTTCTTAGCCCTTCTGAGAGGGCTTCTGTCTCTCTTCTTTCCTGGTGTCTCTGCTCCTGGCAGCACGTTTGCAAATTGTGAAGGTTAAGCACGTTTGTGAAGCAGCTTCAAAGGGGGCAGCTTTCCTTAGCTGTTGGCTTTTGAAGCTGGCTGCCAAAAAGCCTGTTCTGCGAGTCTGGATTTGACACTGAGATGAAATAAGTATTAATCTGGAAGTTGTAGTAGAGGTGCCCAAATACACCCTATAATTCGCTGTAGTAATTGAATGGTGTGTGTGTAATCGCCCAGCCACGAGGGCTGTGTGTAACTGGGTGGAGAAAAACAGCCTCTGATCTGGCTTCCTCTGAATGCTCTTGTTTGGACATAGCGTCTTTGGAACAGAACAGTATTGACTCCTGCACTGTAGTAAGTGCCAGAGAGTGACCTTGAGAGCTAGATATCAACGTGGAACTATAGACTAGCAATTGTGGCTGAAGACCCTCCACGCGCTTCTGCGAGGCCTGGATCCAAGCTCCTGCCCAGCTTTCTTCCTCCAGCATTTTCAAGTGGATAGAGGAATCCCGACACAAGGTGCTGCAATTCAGACCTTCATGGCAGCCTTCTCTGAAGTGGCCAGTAGCCACTGATGCCAGCGCTGACCCAGTCTTTAAATTCCCTTGCAAACTTGTGTTCGTTACCAGCACCCGGAGGGCGCTCGTTGGGAGTATGGGCCCATGCTGGTGTGGACCAGCAAGTCTGGGATGATGTTCTGCTTGCCACAAGTGGAGGCTGCAGAGCACCACTGTCCTGCTGGCTAGCGAGAACAGCAAAACAGTGCTTCGAAACGCTCAATCTGGTAAAAAGCTGTGGTTTATCTGTCCCTGTCTGTGTGTCCTTGACCCCAGGGAGGCTGTATGGAGCTGATGACTTCTTGCCTGTGCTGACATACGTATTAGCCCAGTGTGATATGCTAGAGCTGGATACTGAAATTGAATACATGATGGAGCTGCTGGATCCCTCGTTACTCCACGGAGAAGGTACATTCTTTCCTCTTTTTTAATTAAAATAGAGTAAAGGAGTAGGGAATGCAGATTTTCCTTGATAGCACAGTTGCTATGATGGTGTTTAACTGGAAATCTCTTCAAGAAGACGATTAAAGTCATTGATGTTACTAGCATAATGAGACTCTCCTAATTATTTCTACCTTGGGGTATGAAAACTCCAACGTTCCTAGTGGGATGTGCCGAGCGTGGACTTGAGCGCTCTGGGAATCTACTGGTGTCATTGCTCTTTGCTTCTTTCCAATATTTGCTGCTTGCAAAATATTTTTATGAGCCCCGGGAATGAATTTCTTAGGGCAGGCATGGCTGAAGGCCGAAGCCGACTGTGGACAGGGAGATCTGTTCCCTTCTCTCTGCCTTCATGCTGGTGTTTTTAGCACAGAGATATTCTGCAAGGCCTTAGCAGGCCCCGGAAACCACCAGTTTGGGAGAAGGTCAAAAGGCTCTGTGACCAAGCTCAGCTGTGAATTTAAATATATATGTGTATATATTTCCTGTCCCTACTATGTTTAGACTTGGAATTGCCATATCCTTTTGCAAGCCGGAATGTGTGAGAGGTGCGCCAGGCCCCTTCAGCCCTAGCCTGTCCCTGTCCCCTGCCTCTGCATGCAGAGCATCCTCTGGTGCATTGCTCAGGAATCTGAGTATGGAAAATACTTGAGATGTGAGGCCGGAGATCATTAATGTGCTTGAAAAGCAGAAACATCTACTGAACTGTGAAGTCATGTTATTTTTAATTCAGCAAAAGGGGTCTGTCTATTGGCTGGCTCTGTCTTTGGCACCAGGTGCACTAAGCTGCACAGGAAAATTGTTGAGTGCTCTGGGGTTGTGCAGTTCCAGTGTTGTCTGACTTCGCTAATGGCTCTGGCCTGTGTTTTATATATGGAACTTGTTGCAAAGCTAAAGGCTGAGAGGATGCTCTCTGTCATGCTGGAAATAACTGCTGTCAGCATAGATTGCATCTTTAAATGACAGCCGGAATAGACTGTGCTGCTCTTAATGGGATACTTCCCTTTAACTAGTTGACTTGGAAAATGAACTAAAGCAAAGTGTGTTTTTCCCCAGGTCACTGAGGACTCTCAGCTCATGCGGAGACTCCTTTTCCTTTGTAATCTGCAGTATCTTTATATACAGTCAGCAGTTGCTTTGGCTTTATTTATTTCATTCTCCATTCACATAAGGGAGGTGAAGTCAGGAGGATTGCAGACACATTTCCCAATATCTTTGGCACCCTTGGAAGGAGGAGAGCAGGATGTTGACAGCGGTGGCTCTTGGGCACTGCTTCACTGGAGGGAGCTGCAGCGCTTGTATTAGCTGCAGGCTGAAGTACGGAGCCTCCGAGTGGGTAGTAGAGAAAAAAAAACAAATGTAGTAAAGAGCAATTCTAATCATGTCACCAAATTTGCTGCTTCAAATTACATGGCTATATGGGAAGAGTGATTATGAACTATTAATTTTTAGTTTTCCTACAAGTGTCAATAGTAGTAGCATTACCTCGTTACCTGCTGCAGAATGCTGCTGTCTGGGGGAGAACAAGCTGCCTGCTATATCTTTCTTTGCCTATAAATATTTAGTCAACAAAGTACAAGGACTTTCATTTACACGTACACGTGCAGATAAAGAGGTGCAGCAGATGTGCATTTCTTCTGTGGTCAGCCCGAAGCTCTAGGGTGCTGTTTGTGACCGTTCTGAGAAGTCCCTCTCTTGCTGTCCTCGCAGGAGGCTACTACTTGACGAGCGCGTACGGAGCTCTGTCCTTGATCAAGAACTTCCAGGAGGAACAAGCTGCCCGGCTGCTGAGCTCGGAAGCCAGAGATACCCTCCGGCAGTGGCACAAAAGGAGGACAACTAACAGAACGATACCTTCAGTTGATGATTTTCAGGTAAAGTGCAGGGCTTAGAGAGAGGGGAAAAAAAATAAACACAGGCAGGAGGAGTGATTGTTTGCTTGGAAATTTCCATTTGAGAGGTGGGATTCTTTATGATTCCCTTGGGGACATGAAGGAAGTGAGGGGAAGCAGTGTTGAGATACGGGTTATGAGTTTTCCCTGTTTTTCTTTAATACTTTGCACTTTTTAACATTTCATTTGTGATGCCTAGAAGAAAATACTAAATAATGCATCTCCCCCTTCCATCCTCCCTTTTCCATGGGCAAAGTGAATCCAATCGTAGATTTAATTTCTTTGTATGCCTTGCTGTTAAGAACAACAGATCTAGACTTCCAGAACTGTGGATCAGCACAGCTCCCCTGGCAGGGAATGGCACACAGCTGAGGAGAGAGCAGCATTGATTCTACACTATAAACATCTTCATTTTTTTTTTTATTTCCTCCATTTCCTACTACTTTTCCAGAGGAGATCAGTAACTTCAACTGAAGAATAAGTCTGGATTATTTCATCTTCTAAAATCAGATCCGTGGGTCTTTCATGTAAAATCATGGTATGCTGTTGACTGGCTGTTCAGATGGATCAGTTCCTGCACTGAAGCAAGGAAGATGATGGAAACGAGAAATAAGGATTTATTTCTTTGGTTTAGCTGTTTCCTGTTGATATCATAGCCCAAAGTTTCTGACCTGGCTAATAACAACCATCAATCAGTTAGGATCTGGTTAGGATCTTGAGAAATAAAAGCAGAGGGTTATCAGAAGACAGTGAAACTTCTCAGTTGAGGCTCCTTGAGCAAAGTCTGTGCCAAGGACTGCAAAGCAACACTGAACATGGAGGAGCTGGGGGAAGAAGCAGTCTCGCATGCTGTGCTTCTCTTTAGGAAGAGGTCTGCTCTGACTGGCAGAGATCCTGAGCTGTGGTGACCACATCAAGCTGGTCCATCTTGCTGAGATCCATTTTATATTCGCTTTTCTTTGGTTACGCGAAGTCTCGAACTCTTCCAATCTGACATTCTTTTCAGGAAAAAAAAAATGCAGCATTTATAGGAAACTTCATATTCTTGCATCTCCTTGCTTTTCTTTGGTTACGCGAAGTCTTGAACTCTTCCAATCTGACATTCTTTTCGGGAAAAAAATGCAGCATTTGTAGGAAACTTCATATTCTTGCATCTCCTCTGAATGACAAAATCTCAGAGGATTTTGGGGACAAAATCTCGCGTCTGCCCCACTTTCTCTTGCTGAGCAGAGACACTTGAGCCAAGCTTGGTGCACGGCTGGATGAGGATGCTGTGGGAGCTGGGAGAAGAGCTGTGCCCAGGGCTTCTCATTGTGTTGCCTGTTTCAGAACAGAGCCTTGAATCCCCAAGATCACACTCGTGCCCGGTAACGCCTGGCACAGATTCACGCACTTTGCTGCCTGCTCAGAACGCCAGTTTTCAGTCTAATTTACCCACAATCTGCAGTCCTGAAATAAACTACCTGCCCTGTGGACACGTACGTAACACCACAACTTCAGAAAACTAATTCTTTCCACTTTGGACTGAGATGTGCTCGCTGTATTTCTGTGGTGCTGTCTCTGTGGACCCTCCAACTTTCGGACCCTCAGAGGCCTTCTGCCTCCTTCCCTCTCTCCCTCCATCAAGAGGATGGAAAAGCAAAAATCCCAAATGTCAATGATAATTAAATAGATTTTTTTTGATACTGCATAAATGAATTTGACATTTATTATGAGTTACAGGCATTGATGTAACCTTCAGTCTCCTCTTCATGCAGTCCTATCCACTTAAAAGCACGTGCATTTAAAACAAACATCCTTTGTGTGTTAATTACACACAAGTTAGAAGTTAAAACTGGGGGGCATTTTGTCTTATTTAGGGATGCTCCTTTATTAGATCCTTAGGCTGGATAAGAAAAATGGATTAGTTCTATTCAGTCAGGTTCAGTCCCAGTGATTTAAATGTTGCTTCAGTGTTTCAGTCTGCAAGCGCTATCCAGGAATGTTTATTTAAAGAAATAAATTTTAAAATAAAAATGTTATTTTGATCTTAAATAATTTAAGTCATACAAACATTCTCTTTGGTCTTAGCTTTTAATAACTTGTATGAAGTTTTTACCCTAGTGATTTGGCCCGTTTAATTTATTCTGCATGCAGTCATTGGTACCAGCTCACTCAATAAATACTGTCACACTGTCATCCTCTTACGCATTTCACCTCCTTTAATTTTACTGCTTCTCTTAGGCTTTAATTCCAGATAAATTTCTCTTAAAGAAGCCTTGCACAGCAGGCTGCCTTGTTCATGTGTCCAAAACATGACTTTGCCCTCTATTTTACATTCCAAGCACTTTTTGGAAGGTAGAATTGTGCAGTTTGGGGCGTATTGAGCCATGTTCATCCATGTTTCTCGAGCTGTGGGCTTTCTCCATAGAGAGAGAAGGTCACTGGATAATTTGATTACCTTTTACATGCTGCAGAATAAGAGTGCACACATAGTTATCCTGTAGTAACTTGTTTTGGGCTCAACACCCTTGTTTCAAAATTGGCAGAAGCCTCTGTTTTATTATTATTTTTTTCTTTCTGGTTAATGTGTGCAGCTTCTGTAGTTCAGGCTGACCCAGCAGCGGGCACGCTGCCTCAGAGCTTTATTGTGCTGCTCAAGCATGTTTTTCTCCTGTGTAAAGGCAGGCATGAAGTTCCATGAAAACTGCTGGGTCTTTCCACATGCTGTCTATCTGCTGGCTCTTAAAGGCAGGGTTAGGCTCTAAACCAAGGCAAGGAGGATGAGGGCTCACCGAGTTTGTCATGCCCACCACATCGGCCACAGTTTCACACTATCATTGTCACTAGCAGGCTGGTCATAACTTACAGGAACTGTGGAATCTCTTTCACCATTAGAGCAGGAAGATGCTTGCTGCTTACTGCTGACTCCGCAGCTTTCAGAGGATGAGATTTTTGGCTTTCTTGTTTTATTTTTGCTGTTGATAATTTTTTTCTTTCTTTCTCAAGTTTCTCACATCTGTTTACTCGTTCCACAGAATTACCTTCGAGTTGCATTCCAGGAAGTTAACAGTGGATGTACAGGAAAGACCTTGCTAGTAAGACCATACATCACTACGGAAGATGTGTGCCAGCTCTGTGCTGAGAAGTTTAGAGTGGACAATCCAGCAGATTACAGCCTCTTCCTTTTTGTTGATGACACCTGGCAGCAACTGACAGAAGACACCTACCCGCAGAAGATCAAGGCCGAGCTGCACAGCCGCCCGCAGCCCCAGGTCTTCCACTTCGTCTACAAGCGCATCAACAGCGATCCCTATGGTGCCATTTTCCAAAACAACGACGATCCTGCTTCTTAAAACCAGCAGCTTGTTGTTGAATTCATGTTGCTCGTTAGCTAAAAACGCCTTTGCCGCCTACCTGGGGAGGTAAAACAGGGTATGCAGGTCTTAAACCACAGATGCCTAGTAAAACACGTGCCGACGCTTGTAGCGTTGTTAGAGAAACGCCACGTACGCCACACGCGTGGCCAGTTACGTGGAGTATTCAACCAGCGGGTTTGAGCCAACAGCCCAGGAAGCTGGATTTCTGGTACCGCAGACTTCAGAAACATATTAAACATGCTGTGGCCCTCTGCAGGTCTCCTGCTGCAGCGTGCCAAAATCTCATTTCCTCCACTCATCCTTTGGCCAAATGTCATTTTGATTTAAATGTATGTATGCTAGACAAATGTTTCGGTGAACTGGCTGGTACACGCTCACTTTGACCAGCATGAGTTTGACAAAACTGTCCGATGCAGGGCATCAGTTAACTCATAATTACCTGGATGGTTGCATCCTTTTCTATTTTTTTTTTCATTACAGAAAATCTCCATGTTTTTATATATATTTCATAGAAATTTTATAGCAGTTGCAGGTAAACTGTCAGGGTTGTTTTTTAAATATTTTTTTAACTATAAAGTATTATATAATTATGCATGTGATTTTAACATTTAATATACAAGAATAAATCTCTTGCTGGTTTTAGAGTATTGCATTAAAAGTCTCTGTGGTTTCTCTTTTTTCATGTTAAAGGAGGTTTTTTTTTATGAAAATTGTTATCTGTAATGAGATTGTAACCTTGGCACTGGTGATCTCAGTGCCTTTGTCTGAACTTGATGTACTGTTACCTGGATTATTGTTTATATGCATTGTTTTAGATAGAGAAGTGATTTTGGAAGATGGAGATGAAAGAAAAGGATGTAGAGAAGGGGTAGAGAAAGATTGTAGAGAACTTAATTTAGGAGTAAAATGTGTTAGTCTGCTGGTTCAGGCTCCTTGCAGAAAGAGAGCAAAGGAGGTTGGTAAGAAACTTTCCCGTGCACAATATTGTAGATATGCACATGGATTTGGCAGCACCTATCCCAGATACTGTTTGTGTTAGCAGAGCATTAGATAGCAAAAAGTGAATGGGAACACTAACTGTTTTGTATGGTCTGTCAGCATCATCAAAAGGTGCTTTGGACTGAAAATGTATGTTGTAGCATTTCATGATTCCTAAGTTACTGAGTAGGTGATACACGAAAGCCAGAGTCCTAAATACACAAAGGTAAAATGGGGTTAAATGTGTGTGTTCTTGTGACTTGTCTAAGGTGGTAGATGCTGTGGGTGACGCTGTGGTCCCTCAAGTCAAAGAGGACTGTTCTCTTTGCGGGGACTGAGGGCTGTTCTGTGGTCCTCGGAGGACCGTCGCTCCAGGCAGGCGATGACAAAACTCTGTCCCGAGGAGCGTGTATATTGTAGTAGCCTGTATATTGTACATACGGAGATCTGTACCATTTCCCATGTCAGTTTGCCATGTATCTGAAACCTCCGGCACATGTTGGTATTTCATTTTGTAAATGATAAATGGAGGGTTTTGCACATAATACATTGTAATAATGAACTTCACCGCTATGGGATGTTGTGTGCTTTTTCTTAGAAATAATTTGCACCATTTTTTGTGTGTATTTTTGTGTATCAGTAGTCTCCTAGTACTGCTTTTTGTACTTCTTGGCTCTATTTAAACTCTTTGAAAGGATGCAAGAAGGGAGCGTTAGCTTGTGGGAAGCAGCACTGTGAGAAGCTGATCGCTTCAAGTAGTTTGACTTCAGACCAAAAGGGCAAAATAATTTTGGCAGAGACAGCTAGTAGTGGGAAACTCAAAGCCGGGAATATGAAATGGAGGAAAGCAGAAAGTGCCAGAGGGAGCACGTGCCCCAGCCACCTCAAGGTGATTCCGCTGCCCATTCTTGTGCAACTTGTTCCTTTTGAAAATCTGTTTTGCTCACTTCTCTGTGAGCAGGGGAAAAAAAAATGCTTACTTATCGTAATGCCAGGAAACAGATGATGCCAACACTCTGGAAGGGATTTTGTGGTTGCAAAAATAAGCTCCAATGAGAAGAGTTGGATGTTATGAAATAGAAGAGTGCTTTTATTTATTTATTTATTTAATTATTACTCTCTTTTCTAAAATTGAGAAGTTGCTGGAAAAGCTAAAGGAAATTAAGCTGGAGCTGTAATCCCTACATTTTACTCATGAAACTGGCTTAACGGGAAAGTTGGCACTGTCTTCCCCGGGGCGGGGGGAGTCTTCCCAAGGCGGCCAGGGGCCTCCAGGAGCAAATCTCGCCTTAACACCTTAAAAAAAATAAACACCAAAGGGGTAGGGGCACTGCTGGCTGTAGAGGGTAGGGAAAAAAATAAAGCCTACCCAGAGCTGGGCCTGATTTCCCTCACAACAAATAAACAAATAAATATAAATAAAT